AAGGTTAAGTCATTCTTTTTCTTTTTTTGGTAAAATATGGAAATGATATAGATTTTTTTTTTAAGAATGAAGGGGTTATTATAGCCAGAGGTGTGAGAAACATAGGTATTCTTACAGCATCCTACGAAGGAAAAATTTTGAAATATGTCTGAAAGACCCATATTCTCCATGGCCCACTAAATTTCATTGAACTTCAATGAAAAGTTCCAAAATGATCGGCAATTTCCGAAGAAGCTTTGAGACAATCGAATATTCATACCGAGCTTTTGTACAGAGTAATTTACGAGGCGACTGTGAGAACTTAGACGTCTAATGAAAAATAACGTGGAAAGTTCGAAGTTCCTATACCTTCTTGAATCACCAATTTCTGGAGTAAAGTACATAAAACCTGCAAATAGACCTTCCCTCGTCTTCTAAAAATGTCTACGAAACTCGTAGTAAAAAAAGATCTGCGTACACCTCGTTAGCATTTATTTGGCGTTGTATAATTTCAACAGGAAAAGTGGTAGGTAAATAAATAATGTTCACGTTATTTTATTTAGAAACGTAACATTTACTGTTAGCACAAGGAAAATTAATTTACATTTATTTGTTGATAAAAAGGGGGTTTAAAAATAGGTAAAGTTTGGGAATTTTTTTCATAAGTAACTACTAAATGAAAAGTTTTAATATCTTCGAAAGATATAAATTTAACTTTCGGCTTCTTTCTCCAATCTTTAAAAAGAAAAATGTTACAAAACGAAGGAGTTATTCGTTAATTGCGAAACCTGTTCTGTTAGAACATGGATTACTGGCTGCCATCGCCAGCAAGGATTGGAACGTCTGAAATAAAAAATTCGAGTTGATTTATAAATAAAAATGTATCATCTACCATGTAGCCTAGGATTTTTCAAAAATTTTAATTATGGAAATGATGGCGGTTTGAAGAGGAAAAACCTCTTCTTACCAAAAAAGAAAATCAACTTTAAATGTTTCGAAAAAATGAAACAATTGAGATATAAAAGAGATCAAGTCGATACCTTTTTTATGTATAAATCAAAAAGAATTTTTCATTTCAAACGTTTCAATCCTTACCGACGATAGCCACCAGTAGTCGATGTTCGAGCGGAAAATGTTTCGCAGTAACTCCTCCATTTTGTAGCACTTTCACTTTTCAAAAATTAGAGAAAAAAGTTGAAAGTTACATTTACATCCTCTCAAAAAAAAAAAAAAAAAAAATTGAAACTTTTCATTTAGTAGTTACCTACGAGAAAAAGATTCCCAAACTTTTCCACTTTTTTTAGTCGTCTCAGGGTGGTGTACACCCTTAAAACAATATCCAACAAAGCGCCGATAAAGCCATTACTCTCCAGTAACGTAGCTAGCCAGAGGAAATTCTCAAAGGGTCCACAGCGTTCAGGGTTGAAGCTGGTAAACCAACGTTAGGGGAGGTCGTAACAGGGGAAAGGAAGGCCAGGCCACGGGGAAACTGGGTCGTGCAGAGCTGTCCCTTCTCCCGTTACCCTCTGCAATCGCGTATCTACGGTTAGCGTCGTATAGCGTTTCCGCGTCGCGTGCAGAACACTCTGTCCCGTGTATGCAATGCGGATTGAATCGGTCCCGTTCAAACTGACTACCACCCACTACTACGCCCCTGTATATTCGTACGATGACCCAGTGTGTGCGTGATTACTTGCGTGTTAGGTGGAGGAAATGCGGCAGAGGCTCGAGGAGAGGAACCGGATGATCGAGAAGAAGACGCAGGCGGCTATGCAGGCGCAACAGGAGCGCAATCGCATGAACACTGAGCTTACCGAGCTAAAGGATCACATGGACATCAAGGACAGAAAGATCAACGTGCTTCAACGTAAGGTGAGTGCCCTTGAATCCATACTTTTCATCATTTTATTTTTCCTCGTACACCTAGCGTGACCTTTGTAAGTAGAAGTGATCTTTTGAACAATTACAGAGGCCTCGCAATTGTTGTTAAGTTATTTATAGATTTGATACGTAGTCGAAGTCTGTGGAAAATTAGTGCGAATTATTGTTGCGCCGAGGTGATTCATTTTGATGGGGCTAAATGGTTGATTAAACGGTGTGATATTGGCGACTGGGGTAAATTAGAGCTTAATTAATCACGGTGGCCCGTTCCAATTACTAGTTATGTGCATTCGCCTCCGCCATTCACGATTCAGAATAGACGACACTAGTTCGCATAGACTTTGATTATTTATCGCATCAAGTATACGGTTCATCCTCTTAGGATTGTTCAATTAACACGATCACGACAGAAACGGTCGCAGAGACACGTAGAAACCGTTCGATTAAACGCGGAGTTAATGTACGTGGTTAACCCTTTCACTGCTGAACGGTGTCAAGCTATAAATATTTACTACAAACAGACCGTCAGATATAATGTTGAATTTGACAAGAAAGTAGAATTCTTGAAAGAAAATATTACCAACTGTGTACCGTACACGTTCGTAGCAACGAAAGGGTTAACATTCTCGCGTAATCGCTCGTTGTCGCTCGATTTGGTCGGTGTGAGAGACGACAGAACCGTATCGGAGCGCAGCCGAAGCGGTGCAATTAATTGCGACGCGTCGAAGAGGGGATTTTTCGTAGGTGAGGATTAATCAGCCGGATCAAAGGTGGAAGTGTCGCACGATTTAGCCGTAGAAATATTCGTATAGGATACGCGGACACACCGCTGCGGAGTGCGCATGAGTGTGAATCTTGGCTGTCGATTGGAATGAGTGTGAGGCGTGCGCGCGCCCGCGCGACACACTTTTTGTAATAATATTTTCGTAGTCGTGCTGTGTAAAGGTTGTAGTACGTAAAACGCCTGAGACAACCCCTTGTTATCTTTACGTTATCACCATCCTTTCGTTCCGTCGTTTTATTTTTGTATCATTATTTCAGTTCCAATAAAAGCTTCGTAGGAAATTGCAATTTTCGTTGTGTTATACTTTCTTCATTATGTTCCGTTTTTAATATGCACTCCTGTATTTAACGCGTGTTTAATTGGTGTTCTTTTTCTTGTTTTTTTATATCAGTGATTAACGACAGTCGGAGGATCGACGAACGAATATGTACTCAGGAGACCTGTTTTCTGCTGTTTTTCGACCGATCGATCGTCGAGCTGTCGTTGATTACCGGTTAAACATGATGCCTCGTAATTAGATTTTTTTCGCTTGAACTCTTTTATTTCGTGGAAAGTTTCTTATGTTTCTTTTTTTCACGAATTCGTTCCTATGTTTTTACCGCACCGCTAGAAATCGTTACGATTGATTAGCGTCGGGAGTGTTTGAATGAGTAAATGTCGCATCGAGGTGTGAACGATAACAGATGGCAGGTAAGTGAGGATTTACACTGCTCGAAATACGATCTGCTAACACAATACTAATCACACGAATTAACGAAAAAGTATTAGGTCATCGCGTAAGTTCGTGCGAAATTTTTAACTGAAATTTAGATGAATATTTCAAGTATACCTTTAAATTTCATGAAAAAACGTAACCGCCTTTTCGTCCCGCGACATCTGCTCACTTTTTCGATAGTGATTATGCGTCATCGCTGTGCAATTTCTTTGGTTTTTCGTTAAAATATTTTTCGTATTCAGCACGAATTTATGAAATTGCCTAATATTTCTCTAACAATTCTACACAAATTTTCTTATTGTCTATATATAAAAGAATCTTTCGTTAATTATTAATAATTATCCTACTAACATTTTATCCACTCAGGTTTCGAATTTTCAGTCAAATCTCTCTCCAAAAGATATTTTCTATTTTCCGTTTGAATTTTCTCTGCTTTTCATTTCTTCCCTCGAACGTTTAATGGCAAAGTGGTTTGTGACTTTAGATCGAGAATCTGGAGGACCTGCTGAAAGAGAAGGACAACCAGGTCGACATGGCCAGGGCGCGTCTAACGGCAATGCAGGCGCACAACAGCAGCAGTGAAGGCGCGCTTAGTAACCTCGAGGAGGCGATAGGAGATAAAGAGAAGCAAATGGCACAATTACGGGAACAGAGGGATAGGGCAGAGCAAGAGAAACAGGAGGAAAGGGAATTGCACGAGAGAGAGATCGCAGAGTACAAAATGAAGATTCTCTCCCTCGAGTCTGAGGTGAGCACTTATTTATTAACCTTCAGTGGACAGTGGACTGTGCGACTCACGCGCACCACGGACGCCGGGTCAATCTTGACCCAGAGTAATAGTACTCCTAAACACGTCAGAAGGAAATCTTAAGTTGTATTTTTCATCGATTCTATGTAAATCATTACTTATCTCAACTTCATCTTCTTTTAAATGAATGGTAGAACGATTTTCAAAAATTATTTTGTTTAAAAAGTATAGGAGCCTAGATACATATTATGATAAAGAGTAAGAAGTGCAAACAAACAATATTTATTCTAAAACTACACAATGGATACGTAGAATATTTTTTTCAATTTTTGCGCGAGTATTGCACATATATAAAAAACCAAAACTCGTATTGACTGTGCGAATGCTGGTATAAAACTAACGTCAAATATATTTTTCTGACGACTAGTCGCGAGTATAAGAACAGACGAAACTATAACAGCCGTAACAATGTAAACATGGCTCGAATTTGGATGTCAGCACAGGTCTTAATTGACCCAGCGTCTGCCAGCCGAGGGTTAACGCATCCTCACTTTTCCCCTGTGCAATCATGGCTATTACCAAATACCCTAATCATTTAACTCCTTCATACACATCACTCTTCCACTCCAGAACACTCTAATTTTCTTCCATTTAATCCTACTCTATTCCCCTTTCTAAAGAAAAAATTCCATTGTTTAAACAGATATTCTTCGAACCACGAAAAATAACAAACAAATTCTAAACGTCTTCTAAATTTATCCAATCATGCGTCCTAACAGTAATGTAGGAGCCAAGGTAAAAGAGGGACCAAGTCGAACCCGCGCGACTTCCGGCCAGAAAGCCGAGACTCTACGCCCATAGCCAAGGCGCGCTCTTCATTTTCCCATAGTTATTGCTACTTTTGAAAAGCATGAAGGCTTCGATGCTACACTCGGTTATCCTGCGCTAAAATTCTCCCTCAAATGTCCGAAGAGCACTTTTCAACTCACTTCTCAACATGTTCGGGTACACTCTCCCACTACTACAGCACTCAGCCGAAACTCTCTGTTTCTCAACTTTCCTGAGAGACGTGTAAACCCTCCGAACATGTTTTCTTCACAGCACAACTTCTTTTCGCTTTTTTGTCGTCGCCACCTCGTGTGGTTCTAGATGCCTCGATCCCGGCTGAGGCGACCTCAGGCTGGCAAAAGCCGGGACTCTGCACTCGTAGCCAAGGCACCCTCTTGATGTCTTCATTGTTATTTGCTCCTTTTGATGGGACAGAGAGCTCGATCCCACAGTGACAGTGTCCAAAGTACACCCCGTTTAGCATTCAATGGCACAGTACTGTTCTCCAGTGCGTAAGGGTCCGTAAGGGCGCCTGCTTCCCCTTTCGAATCACACCTTCAGCGCGGCGTACCTTCGTCGTCAAAGAAACCTCGCGCTGCTAAGGTGATGACCGTGACTGGCTAACGTTCCTGTAGTCGAAAAGTTTAGCAGACGCCACGCGTGACGTATTACCGTCTCAGTCGCGTCCATGTACCATGGTAACGGCGTTTGTCTCCCGGGAGACAACTTTGGACAGCGTTGCAGCACTCGATACGATCAATAGCGCCAGCTCGACCTCCACGAAACTTTAACCCTTTGGCATTCGAGGAGCGTCTAGTAAAAAAAAAAGCAACAAGAATCATCCCTCCAAGACTGTTCCAACGGTCGAAAAAGAAAACTAAAACGCGCGTTTTTGGACGGTGTCCATATGTAGGTGGAGAAATTGGGCGCACGACTGGAGAGAGCACAGGCAGAAAAGGACAGGCTGGAGGCGAAGCTGGAGTGCTCTCAGTCAGAGCTGGGCAAGAGTAAGGCCGAGCTGGACAAAGCTGCGTCCGAGGTTGGTCGCAGCGGCGCCGACTGGGAGGCTGCTAGGCAGAAGTTGACGAAACTCGAGCTGGAGAACGAGAGGCTGAAGAACGATCTGGACAGGTCGCAATGTACGTACGGCAGGAGCACGTTGAACTCGTCCCAGGAGATGGAGAGGGTTCAGGAGAGAGCTGAGAAGGCCGCCACAGATCTCAGGAGGGCGCAGGCCGAAGTCAGGGTTACACAGGCCGACAACGAGAGGGCCAGGGCTGAGGCTGCTGCTCTTCAAGAAAAGGTAATGTTCTTTTTCCAACTGGTAGGAATGTGGTGTATTAATAGGATTCGATGGAAAGAACTTTTCGTTTGGGTTCACTTGGATGTTACTAGGTTGCTGTATAAATTCTGTCCGCGAGTTCGTTCGTGTAAACAGTCCGTCAGTGACTAAATTATTTGAAGAAAATCAGAATTGACTATCCTTAACATTGTATCTGAACTTGGAATTCATGATTCATGTACTGTAGAGAGTCTCCACAAAAGTGGATTTATAGTTCAAAGTACAACTTCGTACCGCACGAACTGTCACCGAAAAATTTACTGGACCAAATCTCTGTGTTTCGCTTCGTGCTAGACAAATTCCAGATTTTTTGCATCGCCTGGTCACGACAGATGAAAAGTGGGTTTTGTACAATAATGTAACTGGGAAAAGACATTGGTCAGAACGCGGACAACGTTCTTCAGAAATTGACAAGTAGAATTTTAGTAACGATATTGCCTTTGAAATTTCGTTAATTAAGCTATTAACGATGGAATATTGTCTATGTGTATTTGTAGACTACTTGTACATTTACATCGGACTACTTGTACATTTACAAATTGATGTCAATAATTCTTTCATAGCTTCCAATTTGCAGTGGTCTCAAACTTTTCACCGTCAGTATATCTGTACACAGAGTGTCTCCCTTAAGTTGAGCATCTAAATTACTTCCGCCGTTATTGAAAGTAACAAAAAATAAGACGTGCATAGAGTGACGATAAAAAATGGTTCCTCAAAGTCATCCTGAAGATCATTCCAAGGTCATCGACATTTTTTTGTACTGTGTTAAGGTCACTTTAAGGTTACAACGTCGAAAAAATAAATATTAATGTGTAAAAAATGTCCACGACCTTAGAATGACCATCAAGTGAGCCTTGGAGGACTATCTTTTACAAACCGCAAAAACTCTGCTTCTCAGCCATTTCTGCTATTTCCAATAGTGGAAATAATTTCTAAGTTCGTTATGAGTGAGACATCCTGTACATACTAAAGGAAATCGAGCAATTAGTGTTAGGATAAATCGCGTAGAAATCTGAAATACTTGAACGAGATCATTTCTAAAACCACCTAAACCAACCCGCATTGTATCATTTCATAAATGGACCAGCCGATACCATAGAAAATCACGCGTCTTTCAACCGATTAACCACGGAAACGAGAACCAGAACTGGAGTTCTCCTCGCCATAATCTATACCCAGTCGTTTCGTAGCTACTAATGGACGATCGAGCCGACTTGACAGGGCATGTTCCGTTCCCAAGAAGCAAGAACAATCGCCTTTAATCGCGATCGATTCGCGGTCTCGTCTCAATCCATGCACGCTGCCACCCAGCACCCGGTTAGTCGGATCTAATTTCCAATCACGGCTCCGTTCTTCCACGAGCAGCGTCGCA